CTGCGTGCAGCTCATCCACCACCTCCTAGCTGAGCCAAACAGGGTGGCATACTCAGAATAACCACCAGGTGGCACTGCTGGGGCATCGACGGAGCTCGGGGGCTGCCTCTACAGGACCCATCCCAGCCTGGGAGAGCTGATGCTGGTCACCTCATCGCACACCAATAGCAGCAGTAGCAAATGGAGCTCTGTCCCATCCTCCCTTGCGTGTCCAAGCCCACCCCTGCGGGAAGCTGCCGTGCTACAGGCGCCTCGGCTAGCTCTTGCTGGCCATTGTGCGGGAGTGAGGTGGACTGGGGCAGACTCCTGCTTCTCCAATCTGTGCTCATCTAGATGACTTTGGTGCAGCCCCACCACTCTGTGATGTAGGATGAGGTGGGGACTAAACTGCGGGTCTTTGAGGGAACAAATGCGCCATGAGTGGCACAATGTAAGTGAGACAGCATCTCTTTCTGTCACCAGTGGACATTAAATCCTACATTCTTGGAAGATTTGTGCTACCATCTCTTGGTACAGATGAGGAAAGTGTGATGCAGAGTGATGCATGACCCATGTCCCTGGACATTATTGAGTGCAGAGCGAGCCTCTTGCAGTTAGTCACTTTCCTAAAAAAGAAAGAAAATTCTTTCACACATGCTAGGCAAGTGCTCTACCACTGAACTATATCCTGTTTTATTTGTTTTTGGTTTTTTGAGGCAGGATCTAGCCATATAATTGAGTGCTGGGAGTATTAGCTCAGAGGTAGAGTTCCTGAAGGCCCCAGGTTCAAATTCTGATATGGCAAAACAAACCAATTGGACTTGAACTTGCTGTGTAGCCTAGCTCTGGCCTGGAACTCACTGCGATTCCCCAGCCTCAGCCTCCTGAGTTCTGGGATGACAGGTGCCAACCGCCAGTCCTTTGTGATTTAATTTTGCGACAGACTCACTAGACACCCAGGCTGGCCAACAGCTTTCAGTCTTCTTGCCTTTGTCATGTGCTTGTGCAGGGTTGCCCTGCAATGGGTAAATAGAAATCCCAGTTTCTTCCTGGGCTCAACTCTGCCTGTGCTACATGCCGAGTGGCCTTGCTCATTTCACTACATTTCTCTGCATCTCAGTTTCCTCATCTGTATCAAGAGACGGTATTGGGGCTGGGGATTTAGCTCAGCGGCATAAGCACCTACCTTGCAAGCAGGCAGTCGTGAGTTCAATCCCCAGTACCAATAAAAAAGAAAAAGACAAAAAAAAAAAAAAAAAAAAAAGAGAGAGAGAGAGAGACAGTAGCACAAATCTTCCAGGAATGTAGAATTTAACTCAATGGTGTGTGTGCAAATTGGCACAGAGAAATCTCCAAGTAGCTCTTGGTCACCTTCCCCTCTGGGGACACACATAACCTTTAGAGGTCCAGCATCCTGGTCTTGGCACCATGTTTTTGGTCCCCCGCGTGGGCATTTTAGAATTAAACAGTAAAATATATATGGATCCATGTTCTGCCCTGTCTGTGTTCTATGCCAAGCCATCCGTTAAAGCCACAGAGCAGCTCCCAAGGTGACCCTTTCCAGGATAAATAGGCATTGGCAGCCAGAGAAGTGACGCCAGGGCTGCAGACAGCACAGGCCCCTGGCACAGAGGCCTGCCATTTGTCCCTGTTCTTGAAATCAGTGCAGAGGGCTGGTTACATTGTGCTGGCCACTTGAGGATGGGGGTGGAGCAACTGGGTCCTCCAGGGAGACAAAAGAGAGATGACCTGGCCTTGTATGAAGCTGGTCCTCCCTCTGAGAAGGTCCCCCAAAGCCCTGGAGAGGGCGCTGTAGTCTGCTTGCCTGCCACCCGGCCCACCTTCCGCCACCCCTAACACAGTCACCAGTCACCGCAGCTGCCTGCCAGCCAGCCTGAACTCAATCATTAGAAAAAAAATTCCTGTTAAGGGATTCATAAAATTTCCCTTCAGCAGCCAAAAGGACTCGCTCTCCTGCTGAGTCTGTGGATGGAGGGATGGAAGGCCAAGCTGGCTTGCAGAGGGCTGCCGGAAGGCTAGAGGGGAAGAGAGGCCACCTGGAGGAGGGTCCAGACCCCTGGGTCCGCTCCGTTGTTTCACCAGCATTTCTGTGTCACCTTGACCCTGCTGCAGATTGTCTTCCAGGGAGCATTGGCATGGGGTGGGGTGTCCTGGCTTCAGGGATGGGACACGACTGGGCAGTGCCAGCCCTCTTCCTCACTATCTTCCGGTCCAGCATGGCGCCTGATACCGAGCATGTGTGTAATAAAGATTTGTTGGATGCTTCGGTGGAAGGGAGGAGAAAGCTCTCTAAGGGTACTCAAACACCCTACAGCCAGTGGATGTTATTTGCACTCTGGAAACGGATGGGAGAATTTCCGTTTGCTGTTGTAGGGTTTCATCTGTCCAGGCTGCCTGCAAACCAAGGCTGAATGAAATAGTACCTGATCATTGATGAGCCTGAGGCCGCACCTGTGTGTGCTCCTCACTCAGGATTGAGTCATGCGTGTAAAGCTTGCGCTACCCACAGCTCATCTTCCACCCCAGCTCCCACCAACAACCTCACTGTTAGGTGGCTCTGTTGGCAGAATCATTTTCCCTGACTCCATAGTGCAACCCCAAAAGTCCCCAGTGAGTGCCTGGGGCTCGGGTACGCAGAAGCCAGCTTGGGCCAGCTCCCAGAGCCAGCTCTGCATCCCTTCCCAGCCCTGTGCTCAGTGACATGTTGCCTGTTGGAAGAGGCTATGGTGGGGGTCTTCACAGCACAGAGGTCAGGGTTGAAACACTAGGACGTGCTGGACAAGAGGTGTTAGGCAGATATTCCAGCTGACCTTGATGTGGGAACCTCTGCTGTGAAAGCAGGGCCTCCCTAAAACAAAGCCAGGGCTAGAAGCGGGGTATGAGAAGACTATACAGACACAGAGGCCAGCGTCTGGGCTCAGAGGGCTGGGGCCCTCCTCTGCTGGTCAGCATTGAGGAAGATAAGAAGCAGGGCCAGCGTGCGCCCAAGACTAGCCTGTTGGGGCAGTGGTCACTTTCCCCGCTGTGCCCCCCAGCCCAGCAGGATGTCCCCCCTGCTCACCTAGCTCTCCCATCTCTCCTTGCCAGACCCAGAGTCCCAGAGAAAGAGGACAGTGCAGAATGTCCTGGATCTTCGACAGAACCTAGAAGAGACCATGTCCAGCCTGCGAGGCTCCCAGGTGACTCACAGGTAAGCTGGAGGGGTTGTGCCCACCGCTGTTGTCCTGGGTCTGGGGCGGGGTGGGGGGGGGGAGTCCTGCATGCCTCCCCTTGGCATCCAGGTTCGCTGGTGTGGTACCTCGAGGGCTATGGGGAGAGGGATCTCCATATCCAGCAGAGTCAGACTTTTGTGCTGCTTGTGTTTGAGCAGTGGAGTTCCTTCCCTTGGGCAAAGCAGTTTGAAAATTACATGGAGGAGTACGAAGCTCCCAGTGTTACCTACTTAGGCCTCACACCCCTTATGCTCACACCCCTACTTAGGTCTCCATCTCCTCATCTGTCTGAAGGGGCTTTGTTTCCAAACTACTCCTCCTGCCCTCAGGTCCCCACTGTCAGTCAGGTACCCTCTGGCCTCTTCTGCTGAGTGCGTGGCAGGGCCCACATGATGCCACCCCCTGCCTAACTCTCAAAGATACTTCCAAACCTCCAGCTGTGTGGGGCACGTGCCCTTCCCACAGCAGCTGTCCCCAGTGTAGGGTCCTGGACGTGGCCTCTCTGTGACTCAGAGCTTCCCCTCTGCTCCTTCCTCTGGGCGGCCCAGATGAGCTCATGCTGTCAGTTCCAAGGGGGTGGCGAGAGGAAGAGAGGCTGCCAGGACTGGGAAGTCATGGGGGGTCGGCAGAGAGACTGTGTGAGGCCCAGGAAGTCTCCCCACTGGGACTGAGGGGAGGTTCCTCCCCATTGCCTAGAATTGGGAAATGAGCAAAGTTGGGACGCAAGGACTTTTCTCCACCCAGTGCATGGTAACCCAAATAGTCTCCAGATACCCTTACATAGCCTCAGTGATGGAGAGCTCGTTACCTTGCACGCAGTCGAGTCTGCGACCATCCTGTGGAAGCCAGCTTCTTTGTCAGGGTTCCATCCACAGCCACTGGCCCTGTTCTTCCTCCCGTAGACCCCCTGCTCCTTCCTTCCACTGTACCCCTGTCCCTATCTGTTTTCCCATCTGGGACACCCGCCCTTTGCCCTGGACATGTAAAACACTTGAACTGATAAATCAAAGCATCTACTCTCCAGGGTTACCTGGGATTGGATCAGCAGGACCCTGACTATCAAAGGAAGGCAATTCTTGAGGTCTGGGGGAAAGTGGATGGTGGAGCTGGGGGACCCAGGCGCCCTTATATCTGTCTGCTGTCTCTCTGCCATCTCTGGACAGGAACCCAAGGGGGCCAGGGGTCTGGCACAGCTGGCCTCATAAGTGTAGCTGCCCAAAGGATGAAATCTCAGACATCTTCCTTTCACCCATCCAGGGAAATCACTGGAACATCTCTCAGTGCCAAGTTACCAGCCAGCCCTGTGCCAAAGAAACCAGAAAGTGCTTAGTTGCTGAGAGGGTCACACCCCAGGTGACTCACTCGAGTCAGGGTGAGCCCTGGAGGCAGCTGCTCCAGCCTCCTTGTGCGGGACTGCAGTCCCTGTTCCCTGTGAAGCCAGGTGGCTTCTGCTTGGGTGGGGAGGCAGGCCGAGAGCCTCTGTGGAAAGTTGCCTGGTTTGGGGGTAGAAGGCTGCGCCCCTTAGCTCCTGTGTCCCTGTAGGGGAAAGAACCATCACCAAGCTGGATTTTCCGTCCTTAGCCTTTGGTTTCCTGTTACTCGTGTTTCACTCTTGGGCAGCCAACCACCCATTCCCCGACTTGGCCCGTCTCACTGTTTTAAAGTGCTGTCTGTCAGTCAGCCCTGGGGAGGGCAGAAGGTATTTGTATTCTCCGGGCTGAAGAAGGAGCAACTGAGACTGGAAAGGGAGGCATCTGATAAGGACAGCCATGTGCCACCCAGCTCTGGGCACCAGGCCTCAGAGCAAATGCAGCTTCATCCCCAAGGGGCTCCTGTCCCATGGGTTCTTTAGGTGAGGCTGCTTTCACCCTGGAACTCACAGGATCACTCTAGAGGGAGTGCCATTTCAGAAACTTCTGTTTCTCTGCTGCCTCCTCTATTTCTACCGGCTCATTTGCCTCATGGGTTAGGGGCTGAAGCTGTGGCCTAAGAGAAAATGAAACTGTCCTCCCTGGAGAAGTGAGCGTGGGGCTGGTGAGAGGCTGCAGGTCAGGGACTGAGGGTGTGACTTGGAAACATCGACTGGCATAGGTCTAGAGAGGTCAGGGATAAAGCAGAGCCATGAAGTAGGGAAAGAGGCACCTTCCACACAGAGCTGAACAAGGAAGGCCAGGAAGAGAACTGAGGAGCCCGGATGTCAGTGTGACCTTCACCTCCACACAGGCTCGGCACCATGGTGCAGGCTGACTGCCAAAACCAGCTCCCCGAGGCCCCCACCATCCTCTTCCCCCTCCTCACCTTGTGGTCATGGTCAGCTTGTTTTTATCCGGCACTGAGCCGCATGTGGCCCCGGGCTTGGCCGGGGGGATGAGACCGTCCCAACTCCCTCCTCAGCACACTCACAGTGAGTCTGCTCCTGGCTGAGCCATTCCCGGGCACCAGCTACACACAGACCCCGTGCAAAATGCTGAATGCAGTGAGGTCAGGCAGAGTCACGTCTTGTCCATGGGCTCTGCCTTCAGGGAGCTTCTGTTCTCTCCTATGACCTGAGGTATGCAGGTTCCCAGGGGTTAGATACCGAAGCAAGATGGTGACAAAGAACACAGCACGTAGGCAGCCCTAAGGAAGGGCTGCCAGGCCCAGGGAGAGGCTGAGTGCAAGTGGTCAGAGGCCCTCAGGGTGACTGCCAGGACCCCAATTGTGCAGGCATACAGGAGCGTGTGCCATGGTCCAGTCTGTGGAAGGAAAAATAAAACCCCATTTTCTGAGGGCTAATACAGACAGTTTTGGAGGATTCTCTTTTTATCAAAGAACTATAAAAACAAGAGGAAAAAAAGCAATGTCCTCCTCCTATCCCAGCCCTATGAGTGGCTCTGGAAGGGATGTGGTGGCTGGAAGCCCTTTGTTCCTTGTACCTCAGGTCCAGCCTCAGGTTGACCCACTTCATGTTCCCACTCCTGTCAGGCTTTATCAGGCTGAGGCGTGAGACCCTACCTGAAACTGACTGGATTGGTGCCTGTTCCACTGGGTGAACTTCCCACTCTCAGCCTAAACCTAGGCCACCCCTCCCACCAGACCCCAGCCATGTTTCCTCTCTGTAGCCAGTCTGGCCTGTGTGGAGAAAGCACTCCATCCCAAGATGGCAGGCCCCTAGGCTGAGGCCCTCTGGCTGTACCTTAAACATCACTTTCTAGGCCCTGCTTGGCCTGGCAGTGCTGGAGCCTTGGGATCCTGCTTTGTTTTTCTCTTCTGTCCAGGGAAGGCTGCTTCTGTTCCCTGGGAGACACTGCTGCATTCCTAGCCTTAGCCTCTGGCTGCTGACTGTGACTGGTCTTCCCGGGGACCTGCTGTGCATCTCAGGTTCCTGGAGCTTTTCCTACACCCTCTGCACCCCACTCCAAGCTTTGCTAGATTTTCATTTTAGGAACCAACTGGCTGTCAGCTCACTGACAGAAGAGAACGATGGACATACCTGGAACTCAGTGAATAAAGAAGGGCTTCTGAGTGAGGTGGCCTGCTCAGGTCTGATGGAGCTGAGGGACTGAGTGTCTCCTGCACAGCAAGCACTGAATCAGAGCACTGAGTGCATCTGTGAGCCTCTCAGCTCTTCGAAGCCGAGGAGAACTGATGAGATGAGCACACAGGCTTAGCAAGGTTTATGGCTTTGCTTGAGTGCATTTACTAATGAGTGGCATAAAAGGAATTCAAACCCAGTCATATAACATAGGCTTTTAAGAGTACACTTGACTGCCTCCCGGGTCACTCGAAGTCATTTCCCCCAACAGCCTGGGTGCTGATCTGTAGCGAGGGTGACACACAGTTAGAGGCTTCCTTGGGCGAAGCCACTGCTGGTATGTATGAAGAGACTGGCTCTCAGTGGCTGTGCTGAGAGCTAAAGTTGTGCTCTCTGCTCTCTGCCCAGCTCCCTGGAGATGACCTGCTATGACAGCGACGACGCCAACCCCCGAAGTGTGTCCAGCCTCTCCAACCGCTCATCCCCCCTCTCCTGGCGCTATGGCCAGTCCAGCCCGAGGCTGCAGGCCGGTGATGCACCCTCGGTGGGTGGGAGCTGCCGCTCTGAGGGGCCACCTGCATGGTACATGCACGGGGAGCGCACCCACTACTCGCACACCATGCCCATGCGCAGCCCCAGCAAGCTCAGCCACATCTCCCGCCTGGAGCTGGTCGAGTCCCTGGACTCAGATGAGGTGGACCTCAAGTCCGGCTATATGAGTGACAGTGACCTTATGGGCAAAACCATGACGGAAGATGATGACATCACCACTGGGTAAGCAGAGGGGCCCCTTGGACAGCTGCGGCTGGGGACAGCGGGCACAGTGGAGTGAAACCCGAAACTGGCTTTGCCTTGCTGTGACAAGGGAACTGTGTAGAGCACTTGCGCACAGGCTGTGGCTGCTTCTGCAGTCTGGTATGATTTCTTCTGGACCTGGGTGTAGGGGTTGGAGCCTGCAGCCCACTGCCGAGGGGGAGCTGATTGGTCCTGGTGGCTGTCAATTACATGCTGGGTTCTATCATCTTCTTCCCTGGTCCTGTGCACGGAAAACTGGCCCAAAGAGCCCTAGAGAACCATCTTAGTCCCAGCTTTTCTATAAACTCTGTTTAGACTATGGACAACCTAATGTGCTTAGACAACAAAAGAGGCTATGATAATACGGCACTTCTGTCTACCTGCTGAGAAGGGAAAATGAGCCTGTCAGAGAAAAATGTGGTTTCACTGCTTCCTCTGTCGAAGTGTCCAGGCCCTGTCCCCTACGGTAGTCTGTGGCTCGTGGTCTGTACTCCTTGGGTTTTTGCTTTGCAATCCTTCTGCCCTAGTGCTTCTGCCCCTTCTGAATCCCTACGCAGTCTACTAAGCACTTCCTTCCTGCCCTTTGCCTTCTCGTTTCCTGCCTTGAGTAATATACAGTCGGGCCTATGGGTGAAACTTGGACAGAGGTGCCAGACTGAACATGAAGGGAGAGGAGAGGAAGACCTAGGTGCAGGAGGTTCTCAAGATCCTGGCCAGCTCCTAAGCCCTGAGACCAGAGTGGCAGTGGTTCTGGAAGCTTCTCTGGGTCGTTTCTCAGCTGACTGCCACTTCCATTCTCCCGTCTTGGTTTGCAGGGAGTAGGGGGTGATGAGAAGCAGAAGCAACCTTTCTCCTACTTTTCAAGGTCTGCTTCTCCCCAGTAGAAATCTCAGCCACCAAAGGCATGAAAAGCCGCCTGTGAAGAAGACTTGGAGCCAAGCTCGGGCTGTCCACTGTTGCCTGCCACAGCCCCACCCAAGGGATAAACTTGGCAAGATCTGGTCAGGGCCTGTCCAGCAAATGAGGCTGCTCTGGAGCAAAACAGCTGACGCATAATGGAGTTGTTTACTGCCTGTTAAATCCCTGGGGCTGACCCACCTCATGCTCAGATCTACCCTTCAGCTGGGAGCTGGGACCGGAGAGAAGGCATCCACAGACCCTGCACAGACCCTGAGCGACCGCTGCGGTCAGACTCAGTACTGGGCAGGAAGGAAAGCCAAGGTGTCATTATAGCTGCCCCACACAGCCTCTGCCTAAGACAGCCTCTGAGGAGGTGCCAGGTCCCTGTCCTCCGAGGGTCCAGTGTGGGGAGGGCAAAGGGCAGCATGGCACCTGTGGAGCCAAAGGGTAGGAAAGTTCCCCTTGTATTGGAAGGACAGGTGATAGCCTGCTAAGAGCCCTTTCCCCACAGCTCACCCAGCATCCTTGGCAGAAAACTAACCGTGCGTAGGAAGCATAGGACCCAGGCTATGGAGAGGCCCCTCCCTACCCAGTGCCCAGATGTGAGGAAGGTGGCAGGGCTTGCAGGCTTTAACTAGCAGTGTGAGCTTGGACAAGTTAGTTAACCTCTCCAGGCTTTAGTTTCCCTCTGTACTAAATGCAGATAGTAGCAGAGCCAACAGGAGGACTAAGGTGCAAATTAAAATGGTTAGTGCATGTCAAGTGCGGGAGTAACCCCTGGCTCATTGCGGTTGCTCACCCCATGTCTCCTGTTATTGTGGCTGCTGTCACAGTCCCAGCCAATGGGGAGATGCAGCCCTGCCCTCAGACAGCGTGCAGCTCAATCAGACCACCTCGCTAGGAAGGTCTAGCAGCAGCTGACCAATCCTGGGGACACAGGTAATGAGTGTTGGGGGCATGGCGTATCATAGACCAGGAGAGAAAAGTGTCTTTGTCTACCTCCTAGCAGCCTTTTGTATCCTCATTCCTCTAAACAGCCTGTGTGCTCCTGAATTCATTGGGAGTTCCCAAGATGGATATGAAAAATAACATGCTTTCCCTGAACACCTAGCTGGATGCACAGGGAGCCTGGACGTTTGTTGGGGAATGTAGAATGAATTGTTGGCGTTGCTGGACGTAGTGGTACATGCCAGGGGTGCATACCACTTTGGAGGCTGAGGCTGGAGGATCACTGTGAGCCTAAGGCCGGCCTGAATCATGTAGGGAGACCTGGTCTCAGAATAGCAACTACTAGGCCTGGTGGTACATGCCAGCAACCCCAACACTGGAGAGGCTGAGGCAGCAGGATTGCTGCGAGTTCAAGGCCAGCCTGGGGCCACATAGTGACTTCCAGACCAGCCTGAACTGGGGAGACCCTGTCTCAAAAAAAAAAAGCCACAAAAAACAAACAACAACAAATTGTTGGCATGACAATAGCCACAAAATGGACCATACTGTAAACTGCAATGTGAGTTTACAAAATAACTTCACATGTACTTTTGAGGATCAGTCTTCAATTAGCAAAAACCCTTAGCCCTAGTTTTAAGGTTTTTCTGTCATTGAATTCCCTGCCAAGACTGTAAACACAGCCATCCTTAAAGGAGCTGAGGCAGTTGGACTGAGGGAGATCAATTTATAATACCCACTAACTTTAAGGTAAACAATCGCTGCTCGGTTAAGGATCTCCATGGTTACGTGCTATTTCCTTGGATTTTGTCACAGGACACCCTCGATTGCAGCCAGTCTTAAGTGGCCATGTAGGCCCGAGCTGTCCTCACTCAGCTTCCTCTGGGTCCTCTCATCCCCACTGTGGTTTTCATCCAAATTTTGCCATTAAGAAAATGTCCTATTCCTAAGGAAATTATGTTTTCCCAGTCGTGAAATAGCTTGGGCTGTTCCTGTAGGGCAGCCTTCAGAGCTCATGCCGCACGCATAGGAGACACTGGCATGCACCCACGGCCAGGGCCCATGTCCACATTTCTTCATCCCAGGACTCCCGAGGCTGGTTGCGGGGCTGGCTGCATTGGGTTGAGTGAACTGTGAAGGATGGCAGTGCCTCTGACTGGGTCAGGGTGCTCCGTTTCATTGGCTGGGGTGTTGTCCGCTGGAGTGGAATCTGCAGTGTTCAGCTTCAGGCCAGCTCTCCTCTCCCTGCTCCATCAAATCCCTGGCCTCTCGCTGGTTTGCCTTCAGCAACCGGAATTTGAAGCAAATTCTTCAAAGTATCCAACCAATTAGGGTGAGGAAAAGAACTCCAGGGTACACCCAGTAGTACACGTTAAAAAATTAATTTTTTAAATTGAAATTAATTTTTAAAAATCATGGTAAAGTACTCACAATGTTTCCTATCGCAGGCTAATCATTTTCAATGTACAGTTCAGTGACGTCCATCCCCTTTTGTTCACGCTGTTGTATAACCACTGCCCCATTCCTCTCCAGAACTCCTCCATTTACCCAAACGGAAACTCCACATTGGCTGGCAGGGGCCCCCCTTTCCCTCTACTGCAGTTCCTGGCAAGCACCGTCCTGCTTTTTTGCCTCGATGAGTTTGGCTACTCTGGGTAACTACTCATAAAAGTGCAGGTGTACTGCATTCATCTTGTGACTGGCTTATTTCAGCTAGCGTCGCGTCACCCAAGTTCATCTGTTTCACAGCAGGTGACGGGACTCCCCCTTGTAATGTTGAATACTGTCCCACTGTAGGTCAGTGCCACATTTTGTGTATCTACTTCCCTGTCAATAGGTTTTGTTTACCTTTGAGCTACTGTGAATAATGCTGCTGTGAACGAGAATCCTTGCTTTCGGTTCTGCTGGATTCATACACGGAAATGGAATTGCTGGGAATTCTCTGTGAGTTCTGAGAAGCCAGTTTGGTGTTTTCCATAGAGACTATACTGTTTTGCATTCCCATGAGTCCAAGTACTGTACATCTTTGCTGTTTACTGATTTAAGGATTTTGGTGGAGAGGTGTGCTTGGAGATTTTTAAAATTTTAGTTGTTTGTTTGTTGTTGTTGTTTTCCCCGTTACTGGAGAGTGAACCCAGGATTTCTACCACTGTCCTTTTTTATTGTTATTATTTTGAGACAGGGCCTTGCCAAGTTGCACAGGTTGGATTTGAACCTGCAGTTCTCCTACCGTAAGCTCCCCAGTAGCTGGGACTATCAGCATGCACTGCCACACTCAGCCTGTTTTGTTTTAATTGTAGCTATTCTAACTGTGTTGCCTTTCCATTACTGTAACTGAGATAATAAGGTTGAAAAGAGGGATGGTTTGTTTAGGATCACAGTTTTGGAGGTGTCTGTCCATGGCTGGCCATGTTGCTTTGGGGCCTGTGGTGAGGAAGCCCAGGGAGGAGAATCTGCTGAAATCATTCAGCCCCTGGCTGGGAAGTGAAGAAGAAACACGAGAAGAGACCAGGATCCCTCTGAGACCTCCTTCTAGGCCACCTCCTGAAGGCACCACCACCCCCAGTCACACCATAGGCTGAGTACCACCACATATACAGGCCTTTGGGAACGCTGGAGGTCCGACCAGTAGCACTAATGGATGTGAAGCAGTATTTCTTTGTGTCTTTTTTAGAATGTATGTTTTAATTGACACATAATTGTACATATTGGGCTGGGGATTTAGCTCAGCAGCATAAGTGCGTGCCTTGCAAGCAGGCGGTCATGAGTTTGATTCCTGGTACCGATTAAAAAAATAATTGTACATATTTATGAGATACAGTGACATTTCAATACATGTATACAGCCTAGTGAGTAGATCAGGTAATTGGCATTTCTAGCACCTAAGATATTAACCATTTCTTTGTATTGGGAATGTTCAGTCCTCTCTGCTGGCTATTTTGAAACAAACAGTTAAAACCAGGCATGGAGCTGGATGTGATGGCGCATGCCTGTAATCTCAGCACTCTGGGAGGCTGAGGCAGGAGGATCATTGTGAGTTGGAAGCCACCCTAGATTATGAAGTGAATTCCAGGCAGCCTGACCGGCATAGCAAAACCCTGTCTCAAAAAGACAAAAAAACAAATTAGTAAAAA